CATCTTGCCAACATTTATGCTTCATAGCCCGGTTATATGAAGGAATAGGAACAAATGCTAAAGTTGTCGAAGATAAAGATTCAGAAAAATCGTACATTTCTAAAGGTTTACAAATGCGAGTACTACGACATAAAGGGACTGAGTCTAGTTGATTCATTGGATCAACAACCAAAGTATGATTGGAAAGGGGCCTTGGAGTGATGGAAGACTGAATTTGTGGAACAGCTTAACGTCTTTAGTAGACCAAGAAAGGTCATTCTCCTACAGGACTGTTAAAAAACAATGTTAAAACGAATTTGGATATAGAAGAGTGACTGTCTCGATTGATAGTAAAATAATAGGTTTAAATATGTTTTTAGTCCCTCAAATTTAAGGTAAATCTGTTTTTGGTCCCTCAAATTTAAAATTATTTTTAGTCCCTGTAATTTAAAAAAACCTTATTTTAGTCCTTATATTCAAATTTTGTTAAGAAATTTATCAAATATTATTACATAAAATCTACCTATTGATATCTCTATCAGTGAAAATACCACATTTAATCAGGTTGATATTACATAATTGTCTTAATTAGTCACTTTCAAATATGTTATTTGTGACTTAATAGACTAAAATAAGATTTTTGAAAATTACAGGGACTAAAAATAACAGTTTTAAATTTAAGGAACCAAAAACAAATTTATCTTAAATTTGAGGGACTAAAAACATATTTAAGGCTAAATAATATGTATCTTCTTGAAAGATGACATTTCTAGAAAACCCGAATCCTATGTGTTTGAAGATCATAACATATAAAATCTTTTTGATGGGCTAAGTAACCAAGAAAAACACATTTAATAGATTGAGTTGTGGGCTTCGTGTGTTCTTGTGGTTGAAAATGAGCATAACAACACAATCAAAGGTGCGAAGAGTGGAATAAATGGGTGGCTTACCAAATAATCTTAAGAAAGATAAATCATTGTTTAAGATTAGAGAAGACAATCGATTAATTAGGTGGACAGCAGCTAAAAGATCTTCACACCAAAAATGGAAGGGCATAAATGAGTTCAACATTAAGGTACGAACAACATCAGGACGATAAATGAGGGTACGGAAGGACATGACCCTTGGGATAATATACCATTTTCCTACCAAAACTATTGAAATATATGAGATGTGTATTCCCCCCATTATCAACATGCAAAATTTTAATTTTTGATAAAAATTTAGTGTTAACATAGGCATGAAAGAATTTCAACGCAAAGAATGCGTTAGTTTTAGAGTACAAAAAATATACCCATGTGAAGCGATTATAGTCATCAATGAAAGTAATGAAGCACTCGTAATGTGCATGAGATATAACAGGTGTTATTCCCCATAAATCACTATGAATCATTTCGAAAGGATGATTGATATTTGATTGATGAACTGAAAACGGTAGAATTTTACTTTTATCAAGTTTACAAAAAAGACAATCAAATTGAACAACACTAAGAGATGGGAAATTTTGAATACCAAGAACACTAGATTTCATCAAGTCATGAAGTACATTGCAGTTTGGGTGACCAAGACGCTTATGCCATGTTTGGAAACTAACGATTGCAAAATTACAAGAAATAAAAGACAAAAAAGAACACTGAGACATCGATGAATAAAGAGGAAAATGACATCCAACTTTAGGCCCCTTGGCGATCATTATCCTTGAGTGTTGATCTTGCACAAGACAACCAGATTTTGAGAATTCAACTTTGCAATTATTGTCAACTAATTGACCAACTGAAATAAGGTTAGTGATGAGATCAGGGGAAACATAAGCATTGGTAAGAGATGAGGAGATATCACCAATTGTTATGATAGGTAAATTATTTCCATCTACGATGTGTATTTGCAAATTATTAGAGTAATTGGTAACATTGGAAAAGGCAGCAACATTGTTGGTCATATGATTGGATGCGCCAGAGTCAAAATACCAAGGAGAGCTGGGTAAAGAAGCTATACCCACACTACTAGAAAATTGGTGTTTTACATCGCTATATCTACATCGGTTGTAGTGGAACCGATGTAAAATGGGAAAAGTGGTGGCAATCTCGTAAATAATTAGAAAATGTAAACATATTTACATCGGTTGGGTCGAGAACCGATGTAAATATGAAAGTTCTACATCGGGTTTGCTTTAGACCGATGTAGAAGTGAAGCCCAAAACTCTTTCTCCCAAATCTCTCCTCCTGTTCTCGAGTGTTATCCCAAACCCTAAAGTTCTGCTCGTGTTCTCCCTACGAAGTTGAGGTGGTTGGTCTCAACGGCCTCCGTGCAGGCCATGATGTTGTGGACGAGGTGAGTTCTCGACCCATTGGTAGGACTGGTTGACCATGGTGAGGTTCCAGGGGAGGTCGGAGCGCCTGAAGAAGTCGGCGTCGGCGCGGCTGTAGAAGCCCGCGTTGATGGCGCTGTTGCCGCCGAGGACGCGGCCGCGGGCGTTGATGGTGAGGTTCCAGGGGAGGCCGGAGCGCCTGAAGAAGTCGGCGTCGGCGCGACTGTAGAAGCCCGCGTTGATGGCGCTGCTGCCGCCGAGGACGCGGCCGCGGGCGTTGGGGACTCCCTCTTCGGAGGTGAAAGGCTGAGCCGGAGAGTCTGTTGTGTGGGTGTTTAAGAGGTTGCTCAAGAAGCCTTCTTGGTTCATCAGGTTGGGGTTGCCGCGGCCAAGACCACCTCGTTCCAGTACAAGCACGCGGTACTGTAGGTTATGGAGGGCGAGGGGATTCCTGTTGAGGTGATGGAGGGCTGCTGGGTCCAGGTGGAAGGCGGGGGCGGAGGTGGTGGCGTCGAGTGCGGCCGCCGAGGAGAGGGGGAGGAGGGCCTAGCGAGGTTATGGAGGGCTGCTGGGTCCAGGTGGAAGGCGGGGGCGGAGGTGGTGGTGTCGAGTGTGGCCGCCGAGGAGAGGGGGAGGAGGGCGGTGTGGGAGGGAAAGGTTTTACATCGGGTGATCAAGAACCGATGTAGAATATCTTACACATTCTACGTCATCTGCAACTACATCGGTTTCAAAACCGATGTAGAAATGTCAAAAGAACCGATGTAAAATGTTGTTATTGTAGTAGTGCCAAACGCCCCAAAGCAAAAAATGCTGAAACGATTATTTGTTGAACCATTTCAAGAGTTAAAGTAGGCACAGAAGTAAGCGAATTTTGTTTGTTGAACCAATAGAGGCAATGAAGGCTATTGCATTTCTTCATGGTGGTCGAATTTAACATTCTTTGATGATGTGATCTTTTTTGCAGTAATTGCAAAACTTTTTAGGACAATGAGAAGCAAAATGATCAAGGCCTTTGTAGCACAAACATCGGACAATACTCATGTCTCGGCCTCGATGTCTGCTTTGTATTGCATACGTCACAAGAAGAGAGGCAGATTTCTATTGTTCCAGCTTCATGTGAGTGAGGAGACATTGTTCTTCACAAAACAGTTCATTTAGTCATTCATCTAAGGAGGGGACAATAGCCATGTTCATTAGGTTGACCCAAATGCCCTCAAAATCATATCTCAATTTCATAAGAAATTAATCTCGTGTTGTGGTGTCATTAACATTTTGAACTGCAATTTATCCTTTAATTGATAGATCTTTATAAACAATGTTAGTATATCCAGCCCAAAGATTCATGAAATGTGAATAAAATTCAAAAATTGAGACTATCCTATTGAAAAATGGCAATTTCATGTTCAAGCTAGAACCTGCGAGCAGTGTTGTTTTCGTTATAAATTTTCTTTAGATATTCCCACATTTTTGCTATCGTGGTGAAAGGTCTGAGATTGAGGACGATATTAGGCTCAACTAAACCAATGATCCAGGTCATAACTTGTGCATCTCTGACCTCCCATTTGGCATGTGCCACTATGTGCGTTGATTTATTAGGAGCAGAATCAATTCTGTCAACATGACCCCAAAGCTCCTTAACCTTTGACAAATATCTGGAACTGGAATGTCCAAGTTGAGTAGTTCTTTCCATTAAGGCAAACGAAGAGGACATCATACTTGTCGTTAGACATTATGTCGCAACGTGCGCGTCGTGAACAATACCGTGCAAGAGATTGGAACTAGGAACATAGAGACTGGGAGCACAGTAAAAAACAACTAGGTTTGAATCGGAACCTAGACTGATACCATGTAAAACTCAGAGAAATTGAGGTGAAAATTGTGTGTTCTCCTCTAGAGAATTCTTTATTAAATAATAAGATTCCAAACTAATTTCTAGCCTTGAAGTTTGCTAAAAAATGTTAACCTACAACTGGACTAATTAAGAATATAATTACATAATTATAGCTATACACTCATGTAAGATATGTTGTTTTAAAGGGTCAGCAAATCAGCAGAAATAATGCCAAATAAACTATCATCAAAACTATTGTCAAGAGAAGTGCAAGCTGCAAACATTATGTTCAAATTGAGGGATTGAACTATTGACAACATCATTGCACCCAAGTCTTAAGAAACCAGAAGCCATCAACCTTGTAAAGCTACAAGATTATTGGCTCTAAAATAACTCCCTTCTAGTGTGAGCCCAAGCTGCATAGAAAAGTACCATATAAAATTGACAACTAATAGCCTCAAGTTCCAGTAAAATATATTTGATCTCTACGCATACCCCCATGTACTTTTGCGAAGAATTGGTTTCAAACAGATATACTTACCTCTAGGGTTTGAAACTATCATAGGCTCATAGAATCTATTGGGCTATTTTACAGAAATGAAGATTTACAATATTGACAGGCATGATAAAAGTGTAAATTCTGCATCACTCTTCCTTTAAAGTGATAGTTTTCTGGTATGTTTGTTTCTTTTCATTCATCCTCATAGACTTTTTCCATAACAAATTTATAATATAAAATAAGAAAACACTGCCCATGCACACACTAAGTAGACAAGTATGTGACAGAGGGAAATGCACGGAGCAACATGATAGAAACTGGATCAGAAATGAAAGGAAAACAGAATTCCTTTATTCTGGCCCATCACAACACTTTCGCAGTTAGCATCAATAAGCAGCTATTATAGTAAACAACTTTTTCATAGGGCTTAATCAAGGACATAGAAGAAAAAATATTGTAAAGGTATCACTTGCATTATAATCAACTAAGGCCAAAAAATTAACTTACCCTCATTTAGGTGAGTAGTAAAGACTTCAAATGCAACAATAAATCTAATAAATAACTGGTAGCAAGCTATGAAACAGATTTTGTAGACTCTTCCGTGATAGAAACCAATGAGAGCTTACTTCGATCATTATATTTCACAATCTGAAGGCAAATCCACAGTGTAACTGCAAATCCAATCCGTAAACCTGATGAACAAAAATAATAGACAAGAAAAAATAATAAAAAGGGTTAGAAATGTTTTTTAATAAATTATATATACACGAATGGTATAAAGTTCATTTATATGAACAAATTATCATATCTTTCTGGACCATCATAGTCCCGGTCAATCTCCAGATGATATATTATTGAGTTTTATTAACTCTTTCTCATACACTGAAAATTTTGGCTGTGTTACGTGGAGATTAATCAGTACCGTGGCTACACGGTGGTCCAAAACTATATAATTCCTTTTGCATGTTATCTATCACAAACCGCAATGTATGATTCATTTCTTCACCTTTATAATAACTATCCTTAAAAAATTATATCATGTGAAAACTTTTATACTGAGAGTGTATATCTATTAAACATATGCTTGTTTTTAATCCCTAAGAATAATGTCTACCGATCGCTCATTTATAGAAACGTGTCGTGTGGTTCTCTACTTCCTTCTCACTACAGTTAACCAGGTTAGTTAGAGGATTACTTTATCAGTGACAGAGATTACACCTGGAGCATTTTCATAAACAAAACATCAAATGTGACTTTTTAAGGAACCAAATTTTCACCAAAAGGCAAAAGCATATTTTACCTTATTTTAAATGAGTAAATAGTGTATGCATTACCTGTCATCTGAATACAATCTGTTATATATGCTAAATATATAGCAAATTTCTTAACTTCTACAATAACAACCTTAAAAGTAAATGAAACTTCCGATCAATCATACCAAGTGTAGTTTTAGATAAACTTCTACAAAGCACTTCTATGTGCAAATATTAAGAAAGAAAAATAAAATAAGTATTTTTATAAGCGAAAACTAGTTTATGTTTAAATTAAAAAATAAATTTTTGAAGAAATTAATATGAGAAAACTTCTACCAGTCCATGTATAAGCTAAATTTAGATTATTTTTTTTTGTATCATGTTATTGATATTAATGGGAGTATACTAGCCTCTCTCTTGAGACCTTAACAATATTAAGGATATCCCACCCAATATCATCTTTTTTATCAAACTCGGGACTCAAATTCGAGACTTGAGGACCAACTAAGGTTTCATTAAGCTAAATTTAGTTTAGTTCATGGGAAAAACTTGATTAAATTTTTTTCCCTTTCTTAAAAACTTTTGAAATAGTTTATTGAAAGAAACCCTAACATCAATTTCCGAGTGGTTATTAAATAAATAAAAAAATGAAGAAGGAAAGAAACCTTTCAGTTTGAGATTTGGTGAGTAATCTTGATCCTCTTGTTAGAGGCAAAAGCTCTAGCAATGGAATCGACAATTCTCCGCTGCGATTCGAGTATCATCTGGATCCGCTTCTTCTCCATCTCCAACCTACACCTCTGGGTTTCCTTAACCATCTCCATCTTCAAATTCTCCATTCCAATGAACCTCTCCGCGAAAGCCCTCATCTCCGCGGAGAGCCCCGAAACGTCGTCGTCGTCTCCATCGGGTTCGTCAACACGCTCCCTCGCGAACCCTCTGACGGGCCTCTCGCCGAGAATGCAATTGAGACTCTTGGACTTTATAAAACTCTCCCTGTGGTCGAAGTGAGTGTCGTTTCGACACGCGTCGTCGTCGTCGTCGCGTTCGTCGTCGTCGTCGTCGTCGTTTTGGAAAGGGGCCAGGGCGGAGATGGGGAGAGGGCCGCGTTCGAGGTCGTCCATGAGGGCGTTGTACTGCCAGGCGGCGGCGGGGTGTTTCTTCTCGGCGCGGTGGCGCTGGCGGAGCTTCTCCATCTTGTGGCGGCACTGGAGGGCGGACTTGGCGGGGTGGGCGAGGTCGTAGCCGCAGCGGGCGGCAACCACGACGGCGACCTCCTCCCACTGGTTGTGGCGGAGGGGGCCGCGCTTCAGGGCGTACCACTTCTCCTGGTAGGCGCGGATGAGGTGGACGGTTTCCTGGTGGGTCCAGGGGATGGGGTGGGGCTTCTTCGGGGGCGAAGCCGATGCGGCGTCGTTTGGGGTCGCCATGAGATGATGATGATGATGAAGTGTGTGTGTGTGTGTGAGTGAGAGAGAGAGCGAGAGATAGAGAGAGGAAAGCGTTGTTATTAGAGTGGGTGGGTGGAAAAGTAAGGAAAGGTGTTGGTTGACATTTGGTGGCGGGGTTTGGAGTGGTAGCGGTTAGTGGAAGGGTGTGTTTAGTGTCATAGTGACATGCTGCTGACTGACTCACAGTAAATGCGCTACCCTGGGTACCACTCTTGCAACTCGTATTTATTTACTTCTTCTTGCACTGCTTACCTTTTCGTGGAAATGAAAGAAAAGATTAAAAAAATAACTGAAGAAAAAAAATTAGAGACAATCGACACATGTATAATTTAAATGAAATATAAAACTAATTTTGGTAATGAAAAAAAAAAGTAAAACAGCATTGATATTAATTGACATAATATAAGTACTAATGACTTATGAGATTTAATTAAGATCAATGATCCTAAATATGAAATAGATTATGATAAAAAGAAAATACATATATTTTTGTGTCTTAACAGTCTCTAACATATATTAGTCACCATATTATATAATTGATAATCTGTATAGTATGGTTAAAAAAAATGGTAAAACAATAAAGTAGGTGAAACGAGTAGGATTTGTCCACTAACAAAGAATGTATTCGTGTACCAGTCACCTAGCATAATCTGGACTACTAAAGTATTAAATAATTATATTTACCAAAGTTTAAGTCCTATTTTTGCCAAAATTAGCTTTACTTTTGTATTGCACAAGGAAATACATGAAAAAGTGAGAAATTGAATAAAATAAATTAAAGTATAAATATATATGAACTAGTGTGATTAAAATATAATTTAATTTAATTTTTATGGAAAAACATTAGAAAAATCACGAAATAGAAAATGGTCTACAAAAAATCATATTTTTGAGTTTGGGAGTCGATTACATATAAGGAAGTTATTATCACCTCACAACGTTCGTCTTAAGACGATTATCTTTGGTTCTTACCGGAGATCGATCGAGAGGGACGATCTGTTGGGCAAGATTGGTGAGCCTTCCTTGCTGGGTACATCGGCTGCTCCGAAGTGGGGGTGGTACTTGCAAAAGAGACTTCGATGCTAAAGTTAGTCTTTGATAGTGTAATCGTCTCATATATATAGTGCATGTACCTTGATGTGAATTAGGGTTTTCCTCTTAGGCAAGGGTAAGGTCGATCTGGGCTTGAGATTGGTCGCGGCCCGATAGATAGTGGGCCTTTGCTCTGGCCGATGTCACGTAGCGTTTATCCGATGTCGTTTAGTGCTTTAGTGCCGAGATCAAGCTCGGCGCCTCGACGCGAATAGTACACTATCCCCCCGAGCTCTGAAGACCTCAGGTTGAGGAGCTGATACCGAGTTTGGTGGGGGGTCGCGACTCTTCATTTATGCCTCTTGGGTGAAACGCCACTTGTCATAAAGTGTCGCCTCGTTTCCCAAAACGCATGGGCGGCTTGTAATGAAGAGTGGCGGCTTGTAATGATGGGATGCACCCTGTCATTATGAGCCTATTAAATGTGTTGCCCCTTTTGTCGTTTTCCTACATATTTTCAAAAAAGACTTGACCTTCTTCTCATTTGTACACTTAGTTTCCCATTCGCGCTTGCTTTTTTCTCCGTGTATTTTCTTCTCCATTCCTCTTCTCTGTCGTCGTTTTCAAACCTAAGGTTTTTCTTGCTACATCTGAACCAATCAATGTTGTACAAGCTCTTGACAACAAGCACTGGAAACAAGCCATGCAAGATGAGTACAATGCCTTACTCAAAAACCATACATGGGATTTAGTCTCCTTACCACCAAGACGAACAACAATAACTTGCAAATGGATATTCAAAAATAAGTACAAACAAAACGGTTCCATCCTTCGACACAAAGCTCGACTAGTAGCTCGAGGTTTCAGCCAACAACAAGGACTCGATTACACAGACACCTTTAGTCCTGTCGTCAAACCTGTCAGCATTAGAATTGTTCTTACTCTAGCAGTTTCAAAAGGCTGGCCAATTCATCAAATAGATGTGGACACATTTCCCAGGTCGTCGGTTACTCAGAACGAACCATCCCAATTAGGTGTGAGTTTCCTTTCTGATGGGTCTCTCCTTACCTCGCCCTATAGTCTCCACACTAGGTCTCTGACCCGAAAAGAGCGAGGTCAGACTCCCATGTTGTATCTTCTAGAGGCTCGAAGTTTGCAAGCTTCTTCTTGAATCCGAGCTTCCTCTATGAGTTCGTCTATTAGGTCGAGGTTGGTTGCTGTTTCTTGAGTGTTTTGCTCATTGTTGAAGGTGTGACGCCAATGAGACGTCTTGCCAACCTTGACCAGAATCATGGCGTCAGCTCCGAAGGTCAACCTGTAGGGAGTTTCTTGAGTTGTTGATTGTGGGGTGCAATGATATGCCCAAAGAACGTTGGGGAGCTCGTCAACCCACTTTCCCTTGGCATTTCCTAGTCTCTTTTTGAGTTCTCGGAGTATGACCTTGTTCGCGGCTTCAGCTTGGCTGTTGGTTTGGGGATGTTCCACCAAGGTGGGGAGGTGCTTGATGCCGAGCTCTCGGAGGAAGCTCTCGAAGCTCTGTGCGATGAATTGCCTGCCATTATCGGTAATGAGGGAGTGCAGGATGTCGAACCTGCAAATGATGTTCTTCTAGGTGAACTTTTGCACGTTCTCGGCGGTGATTTTGGCGAGTGGGCAGGCCTCGATCCACTTGGTGAAGTAGTCGACGGCAACGAGGAGGAATTTTAGTTGGCCTTTCGCGGGGGGCAATGGTCCAAGGATGTTCATTCCCCACTGGGCAAAGGGCCATGGGGACGCCATTTTGTGAAGGACTTCAGGTGGCTGCCGATGTGCATTGCCGAATTGCTAACATTCTTTGCACCGTTGTACGTAATCCTTGCAATCTGACTTCAACGTGGGCCAATAATATCCAGCTTGGATCACCTTGGTCGCCATCGAGCGTGCTCTGGAGTGCATACCACATATTCCTCGATGGATTTCTTCGATGACATAGGTGGCATGGGACTTGGTTAGGCATTTTAGCAGCGGAACTGAGATGCCTCGTTTGAATAGTTTGCCTGCAATGATGACAAATTTAGATGATCTTACCCTCGTCTTTCGAGCTTCGTCTTTGTCTTCAGGTAGTATCCCCTCCTTTAAGTAGTTCCATATGTCTGTCATCCATCCCTTGTCTTTGATGTCATTGGTATTGACGACTTTGTCGTCTAGACTAGGAGAGTTGAGGGTCTCTTGGATGATGGTTCGATGCTGCCCGGGGCATTTTATGTTGGCGAGCTTCGATAGGAGATCGACTCTTGCGTTCTGCTCCCAAGGCACGTGATGTATGGTGAATTCCTCAAAAGATGAGGTCCATTATGTTGTTGTGTGATAGTATCTTTGTAGTAGGGCATCCTTAGTTTGGTAGGTTTTGCTGAGCTGTTCTACCATGAGTTTTGAGTCACTATTGCAACTCACCCTTCGTGCTCCAACGTCTCGTGCCAACCTCAATCCTGCTAGAAGAGCTTCGTATTCTGCTTGATTATTGGTGATCTTGAACCCGAACTTGAGGGATTGCTCGACGACGACCTGGTTGGGGCCTTCAAGTACCCTGCGCCCCCGCCTTTGATGTTGGAAGAGCCGTTGACGTGTAAGGTCCAGGTTGGACTTTCCTGTGGCGAGGTCGGGGTGAGCTCGACCACAAAGTCTGCTAGGCATTGGGCTTTCAAGGGTCCTCGGGCCTCGTATTTGATGCCAAATTCGGACAGCTCTACCGAGCACGCAATCATGCATCCTACAAGCTCGATTTTCTCAGTATTTGCTTGATCGGGTAGTCATTTTTTACGACAACCTGGTGACTCTAGAAGTAAGGTCGGAGACGTCGAGCTGGGGTGACGAGTGCCAACGCCAGTTTTTCGATTGTCTGGTATCGCTTTTGATGGAAGTACTTGGAGAGGATTGATATTCTTCCAAGCTTTCCATGCAAGGACCGAAATGCTCCATGAGGTTGAACTCCTCTTAGGTGCTTCTCTACCATTGGAGATGGAACTAGGTTGAAGAGGATTGAAGTTCTTCAACAATTCCAGGCTTAGGACCGTGAACTCTTGAGGTTAACCTTAGAAGAAGCTTTCAAACTCCACGAAGAAGTCTTCCATGGAGGAGAAGCCTTCAAGGTGAATATATATATATATATATATATATATATGTGTGTGTGGAAGATTGTTCAAACGATACCGGTGTGTTATAATCGAGATTGCAACGGGACGATAAAAATAAAATTTAAAACAATTAATATCTGTATAAAATTTTGAAAATATAATATCAATCAATAATTAAATTATATTTCAAACTTCACTAAACTAAATTGAACTAAAATAAATATTGACTAAACTAAACTAAACTATTATCTAGATTAGTGCACTATAATTCTAGGAGTACATCAAATGAAGAATTTCCTATAGGAAGACTAGAAGGTGCTCCAAGCGACGATATTGGATGGCATTTTGGAGTACCTATAGCAGGAAATCGCAACAATGTCCAATGTAAACTTTGTCAAAAGATAATAAGGGGTGGCATTACAAGATTGAAGCAACACATAGCACATGATAAAGGTCAAGTAGCAGGTTGTCCAAGAGTCACGTCATTTGTTAGGGAGAATATGATGAAACTTCTCAAAGATAGAAAAGAAAAGAAAATTGACTTTAGAAAAAGAAAAGAAGAATTTGAATCTCGATTAAGAGAAGATGATGAAGAAGATAGTGACGAGGAGATGATGATAGCTTCGCAACAAAGCATTAGATCACAACGTGAGTGGGAAGATAGACAACGATTCAGACAACAAACAGAGGGATCTAATAACATCTATGAATCAGGTGGAAGCTCTCGCATGAGTGTTAGTCAAACTTCAAGAAAAGAAGATGCTACTTTTGCTTTAAGATCTACAAATGTGGATCTTGTGAGAAGTAAAAGTATGAAACAACCAAAAATAGGTGGGGGTCTTATGAAAACATTAAAGAAAAAGCTCGGAGAAGCGGTAAGCAAGTTTATAATTTATGAATGCTTACCTATGAATTTATCAAATTCTCCATGGTTGCATAATTTGATTATTGCAGCAGCTGAGGTAGGTCCATCAGTTAAATGCCCTACACCTTATGAAGTTTCTGATGTGTATTTAGAAGCTGAATATAAAAGCATGCAAGAATGGATAAGCAAGTTGAAAACTA